GGAAGTTGTCCCGAAGTGAAGCGTCCGAGGGCGGCTCACGGCCTTTTGGGCGGCTTTTGCGTTTCTGCAGGTCCAGGTTGATCTCTCGCCTGCGGAGCTCGAGGGTGTCGTTCCTCCCCGCCCGGCCTTGGCGCTTCGCGATTCCCGGAGCCGGAGCCGGAGCCCAGCCCGGGCCCGCGGACGCCGACCCCCTCCTGCCCCCGGGGGTCCTGTGCGGAGTCGAGGGCGAGGCTCGGACACTCACAGGTGGTGCGGTTAAGAGGACTGAAGGCTCCAGCCTGTTGGAATAAATGGTCAGCGTGCAGCCGACACAGAGCTCAAGTTTTTAAACCATGGCGTGGTTTTTAGAGGTCGAAAGTTTCGCAGTTTTTTCCTTTTAAAAGTCACCCGCTCGTATAGATTAAACTTTCTTAACTCGCACCAAAAGCAAGGACCCGCGCTCACCTCCTTCGGAAAGGCACCTGGGGGAGAAAGGCTCTCGCCTGAAATGAACACGAACGTGCTTAAATATTTGCTACCTCACAGCGGGGCAGAATGGTGACTAATGTTTTGAAAACCTGTTAGATTGTGTAGTAAGTAGTAACCTGAGTTTTACCTGCGTTCTAGGATTTTTAGGGAAATCTGACGTCTCCAAAAGGGTGTAATGTAATGATGACAGCATCCATGGGCAAGGGCGAGTAGAAAAGGGGATAGATGGGGGCTATATTATAATTAGTATTATAATTAGTATCTGGAACCGACACCCCGTTCCCCACATAGGATTTGCGTAGTTGCGTGCATTTGTGAGGGGTTGGGCCTCCCTCAACTACTTGATAGGGGTTGATTCTTACTGAGTATAGAACAATAAAAGAATTTCTTAGCATCTTCATTATTATTTAGACTAAAAGAGCACCGCTTTATTCCAGAGTAAATGTAGGCCCAAGAATAGTCAATTGTAAAAAAATTAAGTCCAAAAGAAGCAGAAGGTTTAGTGGAAAGAATATGGAAACAGATCCGGTTTCAGATTTCAGCTCCTGAACGCAGTAAATACAATAAGGATAGAATTTAGGAGAAGTTAATTTCCCTAAGTTGGGGTTGCTTATCTGTACAATTGGGTTGGTTTTTTGCTCTTGTTTCGGTGTTAAATTTTATGAAAGCTCAGGTTGTATTACGTCAGGAAATGAGGAAGTTTGTTAATTTAAAAATGATTTTTAATCATTACCTGCCTTTTAGTCTATGAACTCTTAAACACTTCAGTGCATGTCACTTTTTTTTTTCTAGTACAGGTGTTCCCTAAACTATGTTCCACAGAACATTAGTCCTTGCAAAATGTTAATAGGTGTTTTCATGGGAAAAATTTCTAGCATCAACATTGGGGAAAACACAAACCTGTTGCTGTGAGGTTATTGAAAGTACACCTGTGTAGCATTCTTGCAAAAAACATTTAGCTTGAATCTGTAAGGAAACTGTCAGATAAATTTATTTTTACTTTTTTAAAGATTTTTAAATTGATTTTTAGAGAGGAGAAGGGAGAGAGAGAAATATCGATGTGAGAGCAAAGTATGGATGGAGCCTGCAACCCAGGCATGTGTCCTGACGAAATCAAACCAGCAACTTTTTGGTACATGGGACGATGCCCAAGCAACTGAGCCACACCGACCAGGCCAAGGTGCTCAGATAAATTTAGAATTTAGACTTTTCAATAATGTCAATATCGTAGAAGACAACAAAAAAAGATAGGACTGATATCCATTAAGGCAATCTCTGAACTGTATAGGATTATGGATTTTGCAGGACATTTTGTGGACAATTGGGGAATTTAAACATGAAAGCATAATAGATATATTGGTGATTTAAATTTCTCAGATAATGATATTGTGGTTATTAAAAGAATACTTTTGTTCTTAGGAGATGGATGCTCAAGTAAGTGTTCAGGGCTGAAGTCATGATACTTGCACACTGCTTTCAGATAGTCCAGGCCAAAAAAAAAAAGTATGTACATAGAGAGAAAATATGGCACTATGTTAATTGTGGTTCTAGGTGAATAATACAGTTGACCCTTGAACAAGGCCCTTGCACAGTCAAAAATCCCACCTAACTTTTGACTCCCCCAAAACCTCCAATAGCCTACTACTGACCAGAAGCCTTACTGATAACATAAACAATCAATTAGCACATATTTAATATTGATTAATATTAAAGGTACCTATATTATGTTTTGTTTCATAGGATAAGCAAAGTTTTACAACTTCTAAGGTCATGATTCTTGCCCTTTAAGGACACTGGAAACCCTTTTCTGCCTCCCAGCAGGTGGCAGCAAACCAATACTCCATAAGGTGCAGTAAAATTGTAATTTTCTTGTCCTGGTGAATGCTGTGCAGGTTACAGACTGTGACTTCTCTTAGAAGAGCAAAAAGAATACTGCTACCAGATTGTAAGAATTTATATCAATTTATCAACTGGTTGGGAGAGTGTATTTAATTTATGCAACTAAATTTTATTACATATTTATATTAATAGTATTCTTCGTTGCTTGCCTCTCACAGAACCAAAAATCCATTTGTAAGCAAATCTTTTGGAAGAACAATAATGCTCATTTGTTATCTCCATAGATAAACAATACTCTCCATAGCCATTAATCAGCTAATATCCGTTAACACCCAGCATTTCAAAATTTATGGGATACAGATAAAGTATTCTTAGAGGAGAATTTATAGCTTTTTCATTCCTTTATTAGAAACGAAGAGTTAATCAATGATCTAAGTTAGCAAAATGATCCACGGGCCACGTCTGGGGCACAGCCTGCTTTTATATACCCTACAAAGCTCTTAACGAAACTAATTAAAAAATAAAGAGACAAAGTACCAGTATCTGGAATGAAAAATCACTAAAGATCCTGAAGACATTAAAAGAGTGGTTCTCAACCAGAGGCCTCACGTCCCAAGGAACACTTGGCAATGTCTAGAGACATTTTTGGTTGTCAAGATTGGGGAGGCTGCTATCAGCATCTAGCGGGAAGAGGCCAGGATGCCGCTAACATTATTCTACAGCGCGCAAGACAGTCCCCTACAGCAGTGTTCTAGCCCAAAATGTCAGTAATTCTGAGGTTGAAGATTGTAATTAAAACCATAAAAGGGAAATATTACAAATTTAGGTCAGTAAAATTTAATGTCTTAGAAGAAATAAACAAATTCTTTGAAAAACAAAACTTACCATAACTGAGGAAGAAAGAAAATCTGAAAGGTTGTGCATCTGTTAACAGAATTTGAATTTATAATTAAAAACCGCTTTACAAAGCAAAGTCCAGGATGTCACTGGTGAAGTCTATCAACATTTAAAGAACACATGTCAATCTTATAGAAACT